TCACTCGAATGGATCTCACAATTGTCTGTTGAACTTCCAACTCTTTCTTGTGTTTCTTCCAAATAACCATCAACTTCAATTCCGTTGTTAACAGACTTGGGTACTTTTCTTCTCTTATAAGATCCAGTAGGAGGAGGGTATAAGGCTCACTTGTCTGGTATTCAGTGATTGCAGGATAAACCCTAAAACCACTTTTAAATGTATGTGGAGAATCATCTTCAACATCATTGGCAATAATTTGATCATCATCAAAAAAAGAAGTCCCTGGGAAATCCTTTTCAGCATCATAAAAGACCTCTCCTGAAAGTTTTGAAAATCTTTTAGATTTCGTTGCTAAATTTGAACCTCAAATTAAAGGTGGCTGAAAGAAATAAGCAGCAAAGAGACTCCTTAATATTGCAAATGCAGGCTGGGATTTGCAAAATACAAATGGAAGTCATTTATGTTTGTCCTTTCCTTTTCAAGAATTCATCAGAGTTGCTTATCCATATTCTGGCCAAACTTTGAGTTTCCTAAACCGGCAGGCTAAGATACTTACACAATATTTAATGCTAAATGGAAAAACTAAAACCTGAATCTCTGTAAGTGGAAAATGAAAGGAACAAATCAACTACACTACAGAAGCTGGAAGTTAAATTAATAGGTGTGCAGGGACATAATCCTGCAAAATTTAAGGATAAAAAAAAATACCCAAGAAAATTAAAAATAAATAGCCAACTGGGTTTGAGACAAGGTATGTCTATAAGCACCATGGATATACATCATAAATTGGGATGACATAAACATAAGGATTTTCCATATAGTTTCTGCCTCTAGTAAAATATAGGACAAAGGTGCATAGAAATTACCTATGGCAGAATCCAGATACCCTTTCAAGGAGGACGTTTCATATGGTGTTCCTGAGAACCATGAGAACATGCAGTTTGCAGCTTGATTTATGCTATCAAATTCCCATCTTTGCATGAATTTAGCCTCTACTGCCAATGATGTATCAGTCTGAAAGAAGCATCAGAGCAATTGAACTATTTGACAAACAACAAGTTTGCAGTGAAAACAAAGTCACATGGAAGAAGTAATACCTGAAGCTCATTCAAGTAATTAATACCCCTAACATCGGCCCATGCAACTTCAAATACAATGAAACCATACAGGGTCCTATGCAGCTCATCTCTCAAAAACAAAGAGCTTGGCAGCTTCTTTACTGGCACTCTCTTTTGAGACAAAGTTGCAGAACTAATCAGTGAGAACCATCTAGAAAACTTCTTTTCTTTAATATGATTAGATTTAGAAGAAGCTTCTTTTTCTCTCTTTTTTTCTCTCTGTCCTTTCGTATTTGCAAAAGGAGATAACCTGGACTGCAAATAAATAAAAAGAATTTTATTTTCTGATCATCATTATATCACACAGCAAGACACAAAATAGTTTTAATGTATAAGTGTTTCAGTAACCTTAGTAACCATCAATTGCCAGAGGTGAGCAGGCTGTGAACCTAGGCCCCTCAGCCATGGCCGGTTGTCCACCAACACATAAAATTTGTTACTTTCAAGTGCAAGGAAAATACTGAGATCAGAAAGGTAAGACTGCAGGTCTCTGCAATCAACATAGGGCATCATAAATAAGAATTTTGCAAATTGAGTAATACCTCCGAGTACCTCACTCTCAGTCCAATCAAAGTTATAAACTCAGTATAACCAAACTTCACTAAGAACATACACGACCTACAATGATTTATAGAAAGCAAAAGTTTTTGTCGCGAAATCCTCATAAGTGTTAATAGTTAATAGAATTAAAAGGAACATCAAAGAACCAATTAAATGACAATTAAACCAAAATCATACTCCCATCTATGCTCTTTCAAAATAGTCTATTGGCCTACAAACACGTGTATGTTTCATCAACTTATCTCCTTGAGAAGTACGATGAAATAACAAGAGACAAAACTAATCCTAGAAACTTATAGGTGAATTCATTTGTTCTAACCGTGTTCTTAATCATGGAGCCCATTCTGATTTAACTCGAAAAAGAACTCAAATATCTTGCAACAGGGAAACAACAAATATGTAATTTGCAGAAGCAAAAGGTACCAAAACAGATACGTTCAACCAGGAAAATATTAATTGGGATAAAAAAAAAATTATTAGAATCTCGCTACTGTGCGTTTAACAACAAGCGAAGATCAACATCAGCAAAAGAAATAACACGGTCCAGAAAACCGCAAATAATGATGAAGATGATGATTTTCTCAGACCACCGAAAGGTAGTACTTAATCGAGTTTTTCAGGCCAGGAAAAACTATGAACAGAAGTATAAAATAGAAACCCAAATCTAACGTCATTATGAAAAGGTCAAACACAATAGTGCTACGGAAAATGCAAGCATTATTGTTAGGTGATCAATTCGATACCGAAAGGATTCATACCCGATTTGGAGACTCGTTAAAGGGAATAAGCATCTGCTATCGTCGACTTTCCTCATCGGCCTCGTGCTCTAATTGCCAGTTTAGCCTCAAATTAGCAACGAAATATGGACAAGTATCTGCTCAACAATGCACAAAAAAGATCTTCGTTTACCTCCAATTTTTTTTATATAAAAAAAAACAGACACATGAAGGTAATAAGCGTATACATATTAATATGAGTATACGTAGGAAAGGACCTTCGACAGGAAAATCCAATGAAATTGGAAGAGCACATAGAAAAAGGAAACAATTACCGTGGAACTTCATAACAGGAGGGAGAAAACGCGCAGTGTGTGAGAAAAACGAGAATCCCCGATGGTCAAATCAATGGCGGAGAATGGACAACGGCAGGTAGATCAATCGGACAACGAGAACCGACAACGTACATAGAAACAAAAAGCCAAAGCTCAAAGAAGCCTCAACTCCAGAAGTCCAGACTCCAGAAAATTTTACACATGTAGAGCAAATTACAAATACGTACGCTCCGAACTTTCAGTAAACATCAGGTTAAAAAGAAAAAGCAAAACAGGGAGCCTTCACTCTTCTCTTCTCTCTCTTTTTCCATTATACACATATATTATATATCAAAAAATACATATATTTTTGTGGCATCTTAAAATTCAAAAGAAATGGATGTTGGAAGCATTGCTTGGCTTGAAAGGCGTGCAGAGAGAAGATTCCAGGCGTCAAGGAGACGTATGAGACTTGACAGGAGACGTCATTGAAGAATTAATTGTAAAGCTAGCATAGCCGGTTGAGTCGAGGAGGCGGAAGAAGAAGGCGGTAGATTCGTAAATTGTAGGTATCGGGATCTGGTAATCTGGTTCCCGCCAGGATCGTCGTTGTCGTTGGCAGGGAAAGTAAAAGAGAGAGAGAAAAATGGAGACAGTTTTTTTTTTTTTTTTTTTTTTTCTATATTTCTGCAAAGAGAGATAGTAGTCAGGGGAAGCCAAGAAACCTGGGAAATAGCCGAGACGGGCGCGTGGTTGGGAGATTTTATGGTGTGGATCGTGTGTATCTTATTTCCGTGTATGTATGTATGTATATATTCATTCCGTCGCTTGTTTATAAAAGGACAAAACTGAATGTGGATTGCATTTATAAGTTAATATTTAATTTTGTAGGAATAATTAAAATTAGTCTCCATGCATCAAGTGTGCATGTATACCGCCTTAAAAGAAAAATTAAATTAAATTAAACTTTTGTAACAAACAAAAAAGTCAATATCAAACAGAGTAAAAATTGACCATGTAACAAATATGGTACGCACCTAATTTTGATTAAGATTAAAGTAACATTTGAGAAAAAAATAATTAAGAAATGCCGAATAGGGCAGATAATTTTCATAGAATTAAATTATATAAGGTAAAATTGTTAATGATAATAGAAAATAAAATCAAAATTTAAAGTTAAGTCAAAGGTTACTAAGAAGTAAGTCATATTTATAACTCTTCCAAAAAAAATAAATAAATAGGTTAATACATGGTAATTAAGATAGATCATTTAAAAAAAAAAAAAAGAATCTAAAAATATCTTTAGAAAAGGATTAAAAGTACATTCTTGCAAGTTATTTGGCACACAAAACAATAAAAGGAATTGATTTATTATATTATTTTAGTTAATATATTTGTTCAGTTTTAATTGATTATGATGGTATTGTTAATTGGTTTTTCGGTTGGTATTTAGTTTTGAATTTTTGAATCGAAAATAATTATTTTATTATGTTATTTTAAAAATATTATCTATTATATTAATATATATATATACTTATTGTATTAATTAATTTTTTATATAATATATTAAATTATACAAAACATGTTAAATTTTCCATAAATTATTACTTAAGCTGTCTTTAATTATATCACTTATGATTTTCTTAACTTTGTTTTTTCAATTTTCAAAAATCTTAAGCCAAAAACTTTCAAAAGAGGCGTAAGCTTGAAGGAATTTGCCTTGCCTGGTTGACGATTCGAACTCGCGCGGTCCCACGTTTCACTCGTTTTAGGGATCAATACGAACTGAGCATCGAAGCGTTCGGCTTTGCTTACTTTCTCCATTCAAACTACGGCGGGTCCCACTTTTAATTTTGTCATACACCTTAGACAATTTTTTTTTTAATTATATAATAAATCATTTTTTTTCTTAAATTCATTATAAACATAAATTACATTAATTTTTTTTTAAAAATAATAATAATATTTGGACATTGAATATTGTAAAGAAATTTCACTGGGCTGGTGTTCTCAGAATTGTCCTTATAAAGCGCACCCACTTTAGAGCCGGTGGATTCCCATCACACATATCTTGGACTTGGACGCATCTGATCCGATCTCAACTCATAACCTCATAAACAAATAGATCATTCGATTCCATCCAACGCAAGCTGTTAACCAGAAGCCACTTCGGATTTTGTTTTGTTTAGATTAAAAATAATAAAGTAAAACGGTTGGGAGCGAGGCAGGTACAGAGATCATCATGGACGCGCATGACGTGGCAGCATCATGATAGCTTCCAAATCCTGATGGGGGACAGGTGGGTGTGTCATAACGATAGACACAAGAAAAAACAGCCATGCAACTGGGAGTCTCTTTTATTTATCTACTTTATTATTATTATTATTATTTTTTAATTTGCGGGGCCCATTTAACGTGGGTAGAAGAGGGGTTGAGTTAATAATTGCGTAATAATAATGAAAATAAAATCTTGTTTGGGTTTTTCCTTTTTGAAAGAAAAAGGAATCATTAATTTTCTCCACTTAATTATTTCGCTAATTAATATATAGTTGACAAATGATATTGGGTTAATATTAGTTACACAAAGCAGTGCTGCCTGCCTGTTTTTTTATTAAGACTACATAATATTCATGATTCAAATAATTCACCTACAATTTTTTTTTATTATCATGTTAAATATTTTGTAAAATTTTTTAAAATATTTAATTTGTATTTAGATTGTTTAAAAATTATAATATTTAAATAAATTTGACATGTGATAATTAAATTAAACTATATTAATAATTATTAATAAAAATATATTAAATTAAATTTATTTTTTTTAAAAAAAAGAAATAGCAGCTAATTTGATAAAAAAAAAAAAAATGAAGGACACTAACTAATCTTGAATAGAAACGAATAGCAACTGACACCAAAGTTATTATTTTAAGTTAACATTAATTCTTTTATAAAAAAGACTATATTTAATAATATATATAATTCACTTGGCTAGTAATTGTAGACCAGTGGGTGGTGGCATGTGACTGGAACATTAATTATGTGGATTTATTATGTATTATCATTCATTCATTGATTTCGGGGCTCTATATATATATATATATATATCGTAACATAGTGGTGGAAGGTGACGGATGGTTGTCATTAGGTCATAATTTAATATATATATATATTTTTTTTTTGGATAATTCATATATATTTTTTTAGAATTCATATAATTATAATATATATCTTAACTAATGTTTATAGATTTTAAATTTATATTTGTATGATTAAGACAATTAACTTATTAATATTAGCTAATCAAACTTATCTATAAATTTTTAACGTAATTAATAATTATTAACATTCATGTTAATTAATTAAACCAACGATATATTATAACTTTTCTGACTGGATTAGGAGGATCACGATGTTCGAAGAAATTAATTTTATTTTTATTTTTATTTTTAAATAAAATAGTTATTACCTTTAATTAAAATTATATTAATTTATATTTAATTATTTCACATATTAACGTCAATCTCAAGGTTGTCCTTACATTACATACAATTATAATTTCATCTTTATATAATACGTGTTTAATATAATTGATATTAATTTCCATATTCATAACGTAGTATAGATTAATAATTTGTGGAAAATAACATAGACATATATGTTTGTACATACATACAAATTTATCACATGATCGGACGCCATGCAATTTTAAAGTATAAATTTAACCAAAAACTATAATGATATATAAAAATACCAGACAAAATTAACACGTATGTAAGTGTTTGGAGAGCAATATAAAACACACATATGAAAATCTGATAGATACGCATGTAGATACAGAATAAAAAAAAAAGATTAAATGTATTTGTTGATTTCGAAAAGAGTGAGATAAAACATATATAAGCATAAGCGCAAATACATACACATGTATTACGATATAAAAAATTAGAGGAATATGTTGGCATATCTCAAAACTAACCATCTCTTCTGATTTTTCAATGGCATCATATGTGTATATGTGTGTGTGTGTGTGTGTGAATATTTACCAAACTAAAAATAATAACATGTCTAATTTACTGCTACGCAGCAAATCCACAGATCCACTAATGGTGGTGCTGGTGACATACACCAATTCAAATATTTAAAAATAACAAAGTAGAAATTTAATCTTTAGACACAGAAAGAGTTGAGACAAACTAGAAAATGAGTTTATCCACACTCCTGACTAACTACCACTCTTTTTAACTGAAGGAGGCCAAGACAATCTTCTCTGGCTTGTGCCATCAACCTGATTGAAATCACCCACTTCACTATTTTCATCCTCGGCTTCTTGCCGCTCTGGTCCTTGCCTCCTCGCGTTTCTGATCGATAAGTCATCAAAGCTAGGTTCGCTTCTCCATGGTGGAGGAGTAACACACTCAGACTCGCCGGTCCTTTGAGATGCATCCTTGGCTGGTGTTGTTGGCAATGAGGACATCGAATTACCCACCCTCAAATTTTGAAGGGTTGAAAATGATTCTCTCATTGCAGACATAGCTTCAAAGAATCGAGTACATGATGCTAAAGCAACAGGAATCGGGCGGAGCATCTCCTGTATCAAGTAAACAAAATGAAGATCACACCATGCAGCACTACCTTCATGCGACTATTTCAACAACAATGTTGCATTTTAGGAAGTTATAAACAGCGCAAAAGAGATCTACATGGAAATCCATGCCATTTGGTTTAATTTTCCATTTCATATCAAATCTTCTTCTCATGCGATTTTAAGATTTCAAATAATTATAAACTTTGAAGTGGCTAATCATCAAGTTCCGTATCCATCCATGCCTGCATAAGCGCTTAGCGATATTCGGTACTACCTAAAAAGCATCCATGTCTGTATCAAACGAAATGCTAAAATAAGTAATTAAATAAGTCTATACGCATACCCCCCAAATTGATGGAGATTCCTTAAAATTTTGACTCCATTGGAAATCTGCTACAGATGCAGTTAAGGCACCATAATCACTAGCAGCCTTCATCAGCAACTCAGAGAATTGTTTCTGCAAATTCCAGAGAAAAAATAACATAATGAACAAGTACCAAAATATTTTTACAACTTAACTACTAATTAGTGATTCGGACATCCCAATGGGGCCATTTCATACTTTGATTTTCTGTATGCTTCTCTTTAAATTTGTTAATTTGTAAAGAGAACAAGACAAAGAGGTGCTCACATATCAAGTGTTTTCCTAGTACAGGGAATGAAGACACATGTTTCAACTTATACAAGAACATAGAATTTAGTGACAATCTCTACCAAGTTGAAATCATTTGGCTACAACAGATAAATATACGCAATTTTAAGCTACTAGAAATATTCAGGTATTTTCTAAGCTGTGACTCAAGTGAATTGGAGCCATTAAGACTTTGAAAATATAGGACTTAAAATATATATTTTGATAATATTTATACCAAAACATTACATAATATCAGCAGTCTAATGTCATTTAAAATTCTAAAAACCACCTAAAAGAGCTATAATATACTGCCATCAAATTTCCCAGAAGAAAAGAGTCTGGACTACCACAAATATAATTACCAGGGAAATTAAAGATCTCATAGGTCAGAGGATCAAAGAAAACAATCAACTTTTCATACGTGCTCCGTCTTAACAAACGTTTTAAAAAATTGAAGACATTAATATCACCGCCACCAACTTTTCCCAAAACTGTCATTGCCACAAATGTTACTGTGCAATTTTAAGATGATCTTATAGGTTAAAGGATCGTGTTAAAGAAAAGGCATCCTTTATTACCTTACAGTCCATTTCTGTAATTCAATAAGTTTGTAAACCTCTTCAAACAAAATACTTAACCTTTGAATCTGACATAAATCAACTATGTTCTATGGATCACCAAATTATGATTAGAATGAATACTAATCGAAAGAATATTCAAATATCCTAGCAAAACTCAGCCTCAATATGCGAGCATTTTAGCTAAACATATAATTGGTTTCAACAAAAGTGCATCTTGAGAACAAGCCAACAACATTGCTTAAGCACTTGAAGCAGGATGCTGGTTTGGTTATGGTAATGTGAATTCTGTAAACCTGAATACAAACTACAAGGTTATTGGTTGACAAAAACAAAACAAGAAGCTTGTACAAATTCACAAGAAATAAAGCAAAGTTTCCAAAAAACAAGAGAAAAATAATGAAGTGACTTACTCCAACAATTCCAAGCTTTCCTTACAAATTAGTAGAGAATATCATTTGATGACATACCTGATATTCTGCTTCTACAGGAATGCAATCTAGTGAATATGGTTGCTGAAGTCGAGCTATAATGCGATCCTGACAAAAAATTTTCTAACGTGAATATAATGGTAGAATTTAAAAGCAAAACGTGTTTGGTATATACGATTGTTCAGGCAGTCATCATAAATCAGCAGTCTCTTTACATGCACAGGAGTAGCATCTGGAGGATGGGGATTCATCTGATAAATCATGAGTTCTAGAGTAGTAAGCAGCCTCAAGTATCCCATAAAAATTGAAACTCTGGGCTTTTGCCAAGAGCATATGTGAATCACAAATAAATTTAGTGAATGATGAAATGAACTATTCCCCCATCCCATAGGAAACCAAAATATTAATAGGAAACCCTTTGCAAGGATAATCAGATTAAACATAAAAAAATAATACAAAATTCCTGCAAAGAGTAGATAACCAGAAATAGAGATAATAAATGACTGAGAAGCTAGACAAAGTACAGATCTCAGGCATAAGCAAATCATACACTTCGGACAGTTAATTTCAATTCCAAATCTAGAGGGGAAAAACAATCCATTTATAATTTTTACAAGCCCAAGTCCCTTTCACATGCAAACTCATGTTATCTACTTATGTATGCATGCATAAATAAAATATTGTGAGTTGAATCTCTAGCATAAAGACAGAAAACATCCTATTCATGTCAAGAAGCCAAGTAAAATCAGAACGCCTTAGAAATTACCTTATTCTGAATAACATCTTTCAGAATTGTAGTAATCCTTGCCAAGGTCTCGCACTTCTTTTCCATCTCACTCACGTGTGTTAAATGGGCCACATTCTTGTCATCCTAAATTTTTCATGAAAGAAATTAACCTTCAACAGATTAGTTATAAAGCGCAATGCAATCATGCTACTTGTAAGTGCACATTGTAGTTAATTCCCTTTTGTTCCAATAAAAAGATACGAGAAACTAGGAAACTTCACCTTTCGACCTTGAAGTTCCACTTGGAGGTCTGCAATTTTTCTTTGCACAGTTGTTAACTCTCTTAAGACCTTGATTAAATCATCACCTTTTTCCCCTGTTGCAGAAGATAAATTTTGGAGATCTTCCTACAAGAGAAGCCAAAGAATCCGGTAGAAATTTCAAAGTATATGACTTAGATTCTGTTAAAAGGTTCATTTTAAGACACTGTAAATGTTCTCAGCCAGGTACCAGATGAAACCCTAAAATTCATTAACAAAACAATATCTTTCTTGTATGAATCCGCACAAACAATGAACTTGAGAAAATGGGTGTATTTGGAAATGCTTCAGCAAAGATTTAACAACTTCTTCACCGCTAGTCTTCATTGGTTAACACTAAATATTTATTGTTCAGCAGAGATTCCCCAATTATCACTAAATCCCTCCTCTAGAATCTCAAAGTTACTAAATTAAAAAACAAAAATTACCCTATCATACTGGTGTTTTTGAATTGGGATAAATGCCGCAAGCAAGTAACAATCTAGCCTGCAAATTAAGTAATTTTCTTCTTCTATGACTGAACATATGGCCCTAATCAGGGTGCTCAGAAATTAACAGAAACCCATAAGGCACCCAAAAAAAATATAACACCCAATACGAGCATAACAACAAATTAATGAACTCAGTTGACGAATTCCAAAATTATGGAGAATAAGACCCTAAATTTGAAGAACTACATTTCGGAACTGGTGAGTTTAGAGGGAGATGGTACCTGGGAAGGAGGTCGGGCAACGGAGAAGCCGAGATCTGCAGCAATGGAGAGGGCATCTGACATGCCCCCGATGCGTCTCAGAGGCTTCTTCCCCACCCAGGTCGTGTCGTTCCCCATTGACATTTGATGCTACCCAAACACCACCTTCTTTGACCTGCTTTACAGAAACAAATACAAACAAAAGGAAATGAGTATGTGGTGTCAACTTCTGAAATTTCCGGAATGCTTTTCAAATTCTACGATATATATATATATATATGTATATCTACATAAAACTAAATTTTTTCACTTGCGAGTTTAAAAGATCTGTAATAACTAAATCCATTGACACTAAAATCTAGAGTCTTTTAAACCCATCTACATTACACTTTATTTTTTTTTTTAGTGAAAAATAAACCCGAGTTATGTGATCCATAGACTCCATTTTGGTAATTAACTTTTCTTGTTTCTTGGTGATTTTCAATTTCGTATATATTAGTTGATTAAAATATTTGTACGAAATAATCCTATCCCCAATGGTTCAGGGATTAAATCTCTAATAATCTAAATAATTCATGAACATTACAACAAATATGAACTCTCAACAGCAACAAAATAAAATTTTAATAGAATAAGGGTGTACGAGCAAGAACAAATCCTAATGAAAAGGTAGAATAAATTGGATTGAAAAATTGTGCTGCTCCAGAACCTCCTAATATAAGACCTTATCCCAAAAAATTTTGATTCAAATCAATCTTTATATTTTTTTAAAAAATTTACTTTAGTCATTATTTATTACTAATATCATTAATTAAAATGTATCAAATTTATTTACGTATTAATTTAGTTATAAATTAAATATTATATATAAAATAATATTTGACATTATATTTAAAAAATTTATATATAAAAAATTTATATGACTGATAAATAAATTAAAAAAAAAAGAATCCATCAAATCCCTATATCCTAATTTTTTTTTTCTTTTAAAAAGGTATTTATGGTATAATTGTTTTATGTTTTTTTTATTTGTTTACATTTTTAAACACATAGTATAATGTTTTACTAATTAAGTTATAATTTTCAATATCATAATTTTTTTAAACTATTGGTTCGATATTTTTATGATGGTTCGATTATTTTTTTTTATTATATCTTTTAAAAAAAATTTATTTACTAAATTATCTTTCTTCCACTCAAACCTGCAACTTAATAATTTTTTATTTTTCTCTCACAAATTCCCATTCTCTCTAGCAAATATTTTCATGTATGTAATATTTTAATTATTTATATGTGTATAATTGTAGTAACTGAAGAAAAAAAACAAGGAGAAACGACATCGTTTTGAGAGGCAGGTGAGATATAAATAGGAGAAGGGAAAGAAAAAAAAGGAGGAAAAAGAAAAAGAAAAGAGAAACAGAAAAGAGAGAGAGCGGGGAGGGAAAAGAACGTTCGAGAATAATAGAGAGGAGTTGGAGCGAA